ACATATTTTCTGATAGATGTGGTACATGGTAAGGGTAGGAGATTCTGATTTCTTAAAAACTTATAAGCTCCAGAAGCTCTTATATGAAATAATAAGCAAAGAAGTAACCAATTTTCAGAGTACCGCCTATTTTTGGGATTCTTGTATTTGCTGGCCGCTATTATTTCCTTTATCATTGTTGATTGTGAATCATTCAATTTATGTTTATTAATTAAATCTTCAATTGAATTATAAGACATGGTACTTAAACTTTCTTTTGCTGTGTTCAATTCAGCCTCTAACTTTTTTATTCTAAATTTAGCTCTTAGCACTCTTTTTTGAATTTTGTGCTTGTCTTTTCTTAATATGATAAGTTCCTGTTTTTTTGATGGAGTTAATAACAATATATTTTTTTTACAATCTGCCATTCGTTTTTTTTTCATGCGGAATGCACTATTCAAGTGAAGGCAATGCAAGCAACTCTTTTGTTTTTGTTCTTTACTATTTAATAGGTAAGGGCACTTATTATGTCAGAAACGCTGATTTAGTCCTATACTTGCTATATTATTCTGAATTTCTGGATATTTATCTTCTAAAGGGCCACCAATACACACATTATAACCATCAAGCAAATTTAACAAACTTGTTATATTCGTAACTAATGGTGGACAGGGTATAGTGATACCAAATTGTTTTAAATCAAATAATTTGTTATGTATCTTACAAGTTATGACCATATCTTTTCCAAAACTTATCTGTTTTTCAACTAAGACTCCAAAACTTATATCACTGTAGGGTGTCACAAAATAATATGTGACAAAAGGATATTTATCACCATTTGATTTGTATTCCCAACCTTCTGGAAGGATAACTGTTGTAGTAGGGTTTTCAAATATTTTGTTAAATATTACTTCAGGAAAATATTCAGAGTTTAGTGAAATTATGTTTGGAGTAGGCTCAACAATGACTTCTTTGACCTTCAATAATTTAATTAAATAATATAGGTAGTAATGTAGTATGATTAGTCACAAATATACATACATTACAATAAAATTATGAATAAATACAAAACTAATAAAATAAACCAGCAGAAATACTAAAGAATAGTGTTTATCATATTAAAATAAACCAATTTCTAACAACACCACAATCATGGATATTTACCTGTTTAATAGTTTTAGATTCAAATTCTAACATTCTCTTAGTAGGAGGATTTCGTTTTTTGACAGGTTTTGATAAATATTTCGGTCCAGGGAAAATGCATGGAATGGCATCATTAGCCAACTTTGGACGTTTCAGATTTATCTAAAACAAATTTCCAATTTTACAAATAATTTAAGGTAAAAATTAGTTATACATACCACAATTTTATTGGAGCCAGTACCTGACTCCCACGTTTTTATAATTTGATCCTCAGTGAAATGTTTTTCACAGACAACTGTTCTATCATTTAAAACTAAGTTTTCCCGTGGTATGGCTTTTATCAATTTCTCTTTAAGAGCTGTAACTTTGGGAAACAAAAAAAATGACACTTTATCAGTGTTTGATTTGTAGCCAGATGTGCAATACACGACACAGCATGAACACGGCATTTTTCAAAAGTCAAGTCACGACGTCACGTTTACATAATAATAATAAATATGTAAAATGTAAATCTAAAATCGTGATGGGCTAACATAATAATAACCAAAAGGTATTAATGTAATATGGAATAATGAAAATCTGACACGTCTGACTAGCAGCGCTCGGCATTTAATGGAACTACGCCGTAACGAGTTGTGACTTGTGACCGGGCAGCTGTGTACAAATCGTATTACCGATGACTAACCTGTTCTTTATAATCGTGAACAATAACGATGGTAAAATATATGATAACAAATGATAACAATAATAACGGTGGCAAAAGATAACATTTGTGATAGCAATTTATTTGATAACATGTGATAACAATTTATTTGATAACATGTGATAACTGATAACATGTATGTCGCGCACGTAAGCGATCGGTGGCGGCGGCGGTGGCGGTGGTTTCAGAACATACTTTTTCATACTACTTTTACCATTACCTGATTTAAATGTTAAATGATTGCAATTAGAAAATGTATAAGTAGGAACAATAATACACAATATATAGGTTGGGTACATAGTACATTGTGAGATTCCTATTCCTCTATAGATTGGAACTCACATAGGTTGGGGTGTACCTATACAACAGTCGTTAATTTAAATTCGGACATCTTAAACATCAAACTAAATACATTCAATAAAAGCTACATATAATATATTAATAAAAAAAAAATGTTATATAATATGTGGTAAAAGTGATAAAAATGGAAGTAATAGGTAAACTAGTAAGTTACTTTTAGGTTCTAAGCAATGTTATTGCTAAAGTAGGTACGTTAAGTGATCCCTATTGTTCGTGTGGTCGTACACATAGTATATTCCGAAATCCAACATAATATGGAAACTGAGCAGCGTCACGAGAACTGTTTTCGTTGTGAGCTCCAGAAGGCTGGAACTCTCAAAGGATTTCAATAAAATTAGTTAATAGACCATTAAGATTTTAGTTCCTATGCTTAAAATATACCGAATCTCATTATGATATTTTAATACAATTTGTGTTTGTGTTTTATTTGGGAGTGGCTAAAATAGTGTACTTGTGTAATTGTAAGTTTTTTTGCCATAATGTGTTAGTCTTTTATTAGATCAAAAGCCCAATATTAATATAGTATCAAAGTCATATATCTAAAATCAACATAAAACCTGTTTAAATTCTGTTCTCTTGGATCCGTCCCCACCATCAATATTTTTATATTTAACAATTCATTTATATAAATTAAATATAATTTCTATATATTTGTAATCTGTAATTTAATCTTATTGATAATGAAGCAGTTGTTAATTAGCGTTTAAATAATGTACCAAATATTCAGTCTACAATTAATGAAGTACTTGCTGAAAGTAGGTAATTATATTTTCCATAGTAAAAATAGTTTTTGTTATTATAGAAATTAACTCATTAAAAATGCAGTACTATGTCTTACCATTTAATAGATATCTATAGGTTATAAGTAGGTAGTTAAAATTGTAGACAAGTTGCAAAAAGTTGTTATTTCATGTGGCTGGGGAAGAAAAATAAACCTAGAATTATTTTGTATTTTTAGTACCTACCTTACTTAATGAAGTTAAATTTTTGTCATAATATTTTTCCTATTTGTATGTAATATTTAATGTTTTCTATAGATAACGGAACTTTTACTAATGTTGCCGATTATACACAGAATTTTCCATTGAATAGTAAAAATGTAACAAGCAATGACGTATTTACGACTGGTAGGTATCTATAAATTAAAACTAAAAAGTAAATTCAATTTTTTTTAAATAGAGTTCTAAAAAAAATGTACATAGGTACAGTTCAATTTTGTGTTATTGAAATAATTTTTTATTTTAGTGGGTTTTTTTATTTAGATGAAACTGGTATAGATATCAATGCAATCAATGCAAATCTTTTATTTGATTCAAAAACAGAAAAAATGAATACAATTATTGGTGACAATGTTGTCAATTTTGTATTGAAGAATGTACCAAACTCAAATAATGAATTATTGTTTGATGGTAAATATATTTTCATGTTAAATATGACTGTTATTTATAATAAGTTAAATTTGTTGTATAGGTAATGAATCTATTGCTGATGTTACCAAATATACAGAGAATTGTCCATTGAATAGCAAAAATATAACAGGTTATGTAGTATTCAAAACTGGTAGGCATTTATAATTCAAAAATAAAGTAAATAAAATTTTTGGAAAACATTTGAATTATACTTACGTAACTAAAATGTTTAATATCATTTTATTCATATCATATATTGTAATTTGTTATATAGATAACGAAACTATTGCTGATGGTGCCGAATATACAGAGAATATTCTATTGAATAACAAAAGTGAAGCAAAAACTGATGTATTCACAGATGGTATTTATAATTTAAAAATAAAATAACTAAAACAAAAATATATAAATATGTTTTTTATAAAACTTAAATTTTAATACAATTACAAGTGACCATGATATTTTTTTAGATGTTGTAACTAGTACAACTGTTAACAAATATACTCAATTTAACTTGAAAACAGAATCAATTAATGGAGATTTTCAATTAAGTACAATTAATGCTGATAGTTTTGTCAATTTTGTTTTGAAGAATGTACCTGAATCATGGAATGAAATACTGTTAAATAGTAATAATATTTTCATGCTAAATAAATATATTTTTTGTATTAACTATTTAATTTGTTAAATAGCTGACAAAACTTTGATTGATGTTACCGAGTATAACACAAACTATCCATTGGATGACAAAATAGGAACAAGGATTGAAAAATTCACTAAAGGTATATATAATATTGAAATAAATAGCTTATTCAATTTTATGAGCATTTTTAGGTTTTTACAATACGATAGTTTTATTGAAAATATTATGCGGTCCTATGAACAGTGATTAACTTTTTGAAACAATACAAGTAATTTTATTATGAAGAAATTATTATACAGGGTGTTCCAAATTTCATGTGACTGCAGATTTCAGCTTGATCTACTCAAATTAGGAAAAAATGACCTATGTGAAAACTTATTTGGATCACATACACATGCTCTAAACTAATTTGATTCAATTTTTTTTTTTAGTAGTTAAAAGGAGGAGATCTTAGGGGTAACTTTTAAAATTCAAATGGGAATCTATATTTTTGAAATATGATTCACATAGGATTTTCTTTTTAATTAATTTTGACGTATCATTCATAATTATTGGTTGATAATTAAAGAAGCTATTTACATTCGAATTTTGTATTTAATTTGTAAAAATGCCATCAATGAATAATAATAATAATATACTTTGTGCTTCTGTTATACGCTGATGCATTGTTGTACCTACAATCTTTATAATCTGTACGCTATCTAACTACCAATTTACTAGTAATAAAACGTGTATTTGTTATCTTAATTTCATTGTATATTACATAGGTCAAGTCACATGATTCTATTGATAATAAAAAAAAAAAAACAAGGCATTAGATAATAATATACCATCTACATATTACGTATATTGGATATTGTTTGATTTATAATCAATGCTATGGAACGGGTTTTGTGTCCTCAATAATTTTACATAATATTTATTATTTATAATATAAATTTAGAAATAAATATCATTCAGTTGACAAATAGGCAATAGCTAATTATACCAAATTGTTGTATAAATGTTATTATACTGCATACAAATATTTAAAATGTATACAAATAGGTTAGGTACCTATCTGTATTTTTGACTAATGTAAGTGCCTATTCATATTTTATAAATTTAAATAATAAATAATAACCAAGGCTAGGAACTTAAAAATATGCTGTAAAAATTTGGAAAATATGCAATTTATTGAATAAAATACATTTTACATACAAAATTTAAAAATTTTAATTAGGTAGGTGTCTGGAAAAAAAATTAGAAGAAATTTAAAAAAAATTAACACGGCACGCTTATGTATTTAATTACCTACTATTATACAATTTATTTATATCATAGTACAAAATATTAATCCAGTGGTAAATTTGAATAAAAATAAATACGGGTCGGTCAGCGATCACTATTACAAGTTCTCAGTAGTAGATATAAAGATTATAATTTTATTTTTGAGAGCAATAGTAATAGCCGTTGATGAATTAATTTATTTTATCAAACAATATAAAAGTACAAATTTCATAAAAAAAAATTGTTCACTTTAATTCTATGATATTATATGCATATAATTAATGTTCTTATACCTAAAATATGCGAATTTGTACAAAAAATCACGAAATATTCAAAATTTTGCAACAAACATTTTTGTATTTGTAGTAGGTATACATATACTTATTACTATGAATTAGATTTTCAATATGTACTTTCTAAACAAATATGCACATGTTTAAAGTTCCGAGCCTTGGTAAGACTAATAACATACTTACATACCTATACTTTCATATTATGTTTGAATCAACTTAATATTAAATATGTATATCATTTCCAAACGCTGACAAATGACAACATTGATTTCAAAAACTTGTATGATTAAACCTCGCGTTCAACATAATGTTGAATGATGCATAAAAAATCAAACAGATTTTGAAAGAACATCACCTTTTCACAATAAACACAGCAATTTTAAAACATTAATATTTTCACAATATTTTAATTAGGTTAGACCGAAAATATTTATTTCAGAATATTATACAGTTGTTATGGAAATATTTGATGTGCAAATATTTAAACCCAAATATAGTCAAACTATTTTCAAACTATTACATACCAAAAATTATATATAAATTGTCCATCATATGTTATGAAAATATTTGATGTAAGCTTTTTTAAACCCATATATAGTCTATTATAGTCTAACTATTACATACCTACCAATAGTATTATTCCCATTTGTATGTACAATTTACATAGCGAGATTCGCTAGACCCACACGGTTCGACGCGCAAACGTCTCGTCTATAATGATCGATCATGAAAAAGGCTTACCCTTAGTACTACAGCGTGAACTAAATACAAAAACAAAAATAACAGGTTGACTGTCACAATGATTTTTGATACTTTTTACCCTGTGCCGTGTGAACAAAAATGTGTACACTCCTTAACTTACCATTTTTCTTTCCATGTACAGAAATGTGTACACGCCTGTAGTGATTTAACATTGGAATTAAATATTGTGGCCC